AGCCCGTACTGTAGCTTGATACGCACGTCCCTTGAGATTCAGGGATAAACCATTCTGACGCCATGGGCGTCTCAAGTTAGCAAACGCGGCCCGAGCCTTGCAGATTTGTGCATCCAGCTCATCTATCACATTACAACTTCCAAGATACGTAAAACGCTCCACAACTTCCAGTACCTCTCCCTGAATTGTAAGTGGCGGGTTCAGTGACTGCATGACAAGGAGCATGGCCTTACACTTTGTGGGTGCAAAGTGCATATCAAAGGACAGGGTGACTTTTGTCAGTTCATCGAAAAGCACCTGCGCCTCGTCCTCTTCCAAGATGAGATCGATGTCGTCTGCATATTCCAGATCGACAAGGTTTTCTTCTCAGGATTTCGGAGACCTACCAGCGTTCGTCTCATTATCTCATCTATCACGAATTTAAAAAGGAATGGAGAAAGTGGGCATCCCTGACGGGCGCCGCTTTGTCTACAGAAGCTTTTGGAGAGATTTTCGTATACTCTCACATGTCCGGAAGTCTGAGAACACAAAGATCTTATTATTTTCACAAAAGTCCAAGCCATTCCTTGGTCGGCAAGCATGTCAAGAAGAACAGACCGATCAACCGAGTCGAACGCGCCTCGGAATCCCAGGATACTAGAATTGTGGGTTGCTTGTACGTAGGCGTTGTTCTACCACCTGACGGAGTGTGAAGATTTGGTCGACGCAAGCCCTACCAGGCCGGAATCCCGCCTGTTGCTCTTGAGTCAGTTTCTCCCGAGCCACCGTAAGGCGACGAAGCACAATTGATGCCAACAGTCTCGTTATGACTGGGGTCAATCTGACCCCCTGTGGTTACCACTCACTACGGGCACTATCACTGACTCTCCTCAGTTGTCTGGGCAGACTCCTTTTCCCAAATGGAAGCAAACAGATCGGACAAATGCTGACTGAGGACTTCACCTCCGTCTTTGAACAGTGCGGGTGGAAGGTCATTCAGACCAGGAGCTCGGTGGCGCCTGAGAGAACATATGTAGTCGTAAACCTCTGAGGCCGTAGGTGGTTCCACGTTCACCGTCCAGGGTTCTACTTCCCCTGTGAGCTCTTGATGAGTGCCAGCTAGTGGCCATGATAGTTGTTATTCGAAGTATTGAGCCTACAATTCGAGGCGTTCTTTATTCACTTGACGTCTGATGGTTCTTCGTGTTGCTACGGCTTATCCACATACTGGTCCTCAATGATCTGAAAACAGTTCCACATAATCTATATGGCTTGCTTCGGAACTACAGCAACAGAACGAAGCGACAGGTTCACGTGCTGTACGTAATGGATACCTGTTCTGTTCCACTTGTTAGTTTGTATTCTGAATGGTGTAACAAGGGAAACAATCAGGGACTTGTCAAGAACGCATGAAAGCAATTAGGTTACCTTCGGTGCATTTTGGTTGGACTGCCACATAGGGTGGAGTCATTGCGAACTGTGCTACAGAACAGAACCTTGGACTTTTAAGAAGAGCCTTCATAGTAGTTGCTTCTATCCAGGTTGACTTACTGAACAGTTGTTAGCACGTGGAACTCAGATTATCTTACGCCAGCACGTACGTAATTCTCCCCAGTCTTTAATGTTTTGTGGCGGCCTTTTGTAAGGTGCTGATGGTAAATCATCGCCTTTAGTCGTTTTGGCCGGTGCCCTTCTTATTCACCCCAGAGTTTTGGCATTAAAGCCTATGCAACTGTGTTTCCACCACTCCTTCCATTGGCCGCTTCCACAAATATACATGCGTGATTCTCAATCGGTCAACTGATGCTCATTTATGTGAGTGAACATTGTGCCTGGCGATTTGTGCACACCACCTTGTGATGTTATTTCGACTACAGCTAATTCTTGTCTCCCCCACCGGGAGACCGTCTGAGCACTTGGTTTAATTAAATGTTCGTTCTAGTGAAATAACATCTGCTTGTGAAACATCCTATCCTGTGTTGCTCACGAGCATCCCAAGAACCCGACCCATCAGTGGGTGGTACGATTTAGTGCTAATCACACCATCGATCAGTCACTGTTTGTTCGACTAATAACCCGAAGGTTTCGAATTCGAGTAACCCTGATCAGTCCTGAGATGCTCACTACCGATGTATCTCAACAAACTTATAGATTGACTTCCCTTTGAGGGTGAAATGAAGGTTGAAATTTACGTTCTCTTCCATTTCGCAGAGACTGCGTCAGTTGCCACTTTTTGGTTAGGTTACCAGCTAGGAACGCTTGTCGTACCTTAAAGTGAGTTTTAAACTGGATGGGGGAGTGGGTAATATCAGCGAGCCATTCCGACAGCTAAAGCCATCTATGCGCTTCTCAGCTAATCATGGGGTGCTTGGTTGTTTTAAAGTGAGAAACTGGATGGGGGAGTGGGTAATATCAGCGAGCCATTCCGACAGCTAAAGCCATCTATGCGCTTCTCAGCTAATCATGGATGGGGTGGTTGTTCATGTATATATATATATATATATATATATATATATATATTCTATGGCACCGTCAAAGAGAGACTGAATCTTACTGTGGTGTGACGGTCTATGTGCCTTTGTAATCAATTCAGATATGCTGGGGGTGTCCGTACGACACTTGCAGCGTCTTTCGTGCCAGGTTAGCCTGTGGTTTGAGGTCTGACTAAGACAGCTTCTGGTTTGGGATTAGGAACGTGTGTGGCAACCTGCTCCTTAGAAGTGTAGGCTGTTCTGATGGTCTTACATTAAGCAGCTGTCAGAC